AGGCTGCAGAGGGCCACCTCATGTCTTCCTCACGTAGCAGAAAGCAGCCGAGGGAGCTCTGTGGGGTCTGTCGATAAGGGCACTGGTTTCAGCCATGAGGGCTCCTGATGCCATCGCTTTGGGGTTGTGTTCTACCTCTGGCTCTAGGGGGACACAAACAGTCTTTCACAGGGACCAGCTGTGCAGACCGAAGGCATCACAATTGGGAGGCCACTCCAGTCTCTGAGTCAGAAGCGGCACTGGAGCTCCCAGGAGGAGATGTGGACAAGCCTCACCCCCAAGCAGAGCAGCGCAGGGCAGAGTGAGAACACGGCCTTTGCCCATCACTGCTGCCCTGTCTCTGGCTGTGTCTCCTGGGAAGACCTCCTGGGCCTGAGGTTTTCTGAAGGGCTTTGAGGGAAGCTCTTCCTGGGTCTGAATCAGGATCCCACAGCGCTGGCCCTCCCTGCTGTTTTCGGCTCACCGTATCCAGTACAATAGCCTCAACACAGAGCCCGCTAAGCCTCTCTCTGTGCCACTGACCTGTGTTTCTTGGATTACGCTCATGCTGGGATTCTCTCCCCAGAGCTGTCAGACGCACCTTCCACCCCAGGACCCTGGCTGGAACCCCAGCACTGTCTGCAGCTCTCTGTCCTGTGCCGGCAGGGCCACGCAGGGGCCCAGCTGCAGAGGGTCCGTGCTGCCAGGTCGCTGCCCCGGTGAGTGGCCGGTGTGTGGCAGCCAGATGCCACAGAGCCGGACTCGAGCAGCAGAGCCATCACTGCATTGGTGTGTGCGTTGTGGTCACAGACTGTCTCACGTGAGCCTGTCGAAGACCTGAAGGCTGCCACCCATCCTGCTTTATAGAAGGGACCCCGGAGCTCAGAGTGGTTAACTGACCAGAGCCAGGCTGCCTGAGACCAGGCCCCTTAAGCCTGCACAGCCGTGACCCAAGGCCACTGAGAGACAGCTGACCGCTCCCCCTCTGAAATACAGCCGTTAGACAGGGCAGCCTTTCTAGTGAGACATCGTTCTGGCCGGGCACTGCGGAATCACAGGTGTCACCCCAAGTCATGTGTTGAACCTTAGCCCCCAATGTGACTTCACTTGAAGACAGGGCTTTTAGGAGGTAGTTAAGGTCAAATGAGGCATAAAGGTGGGGGTCTTAATGTATTGGGGTTGGTGGCCTTATGAGAAGGAGAGAAAGGGGTCTGTCTCATCATCCATACAAGGAGAAAAGGCCCCATGAGACACGGTGAGGTGTGTCACCAGAACGGACAGACTGGCACCGTGATCTGGATTCTAGGCTGCAGAACTGTGAGAAACACATTCCCAGTGTTGCAGACGCCAAGTGAGTGATACCTTGTTGGCGGCCTGTGCAGACCAAGACAGGTTGGCAGTGAATCTGGGAGCTGCTTCTCTCCTCCTGAAATTCTCCACCTGCTGTTTCCAGGTGCCCAGCTCAGATCCAGCCCTGAATGTCCACATTCCTGTAAGTGATCAGTAACCTCTCCCTCCCACGGAGTCTCCCAGGACCTCGTCCTTCCTTCCCTGATGACTCGGGCTCCTTTGATTATTGTCACCTGTGCACATAGCTCATCTCCCTGCGTGCAAAAGCAGGACACCTCTGTGTCCCAGCCAACTTAGTGCTGGAGACTCAGGCAGCGTCTGCTGACTTTCCCTGGAGCCCTTGCCTGCTTTCTGTCAGGTGCCCAGGTGACCCTTGGTAGGAAGGACAGAGATTGGAGCCACCAGTCAGCAGACAAAAGGATCGGCACGTCCACTTGTCTGCTCCACATCCCTCTTTACTGACAGCGTTCACGCCCCTCGGCCCGCTCTCCACTGGGCTGTGGCACATACTGTTCCTCCTGCTAAAGGCTCTTCTCCCCAGAACTGTTGATAGTTCCAAAAAGAAGAGGAAGTGGGAGTACCCCTCCCTCTCCCGACCCCAGTGATACTAAAGAAGAAAGTGGTGAGGACCAGGCCTGGGGAAAGGCCCCGTTCGTGACTGTGGGTCGTGCCCTTGGCCTCTCCAGAGGAGAGGGTCAAGAGTGGACTGGGGACCTGAGCCTCCCTCTGATGTTCCAGCCAGAGAGAGTCCACGCGCTTGGTCTTATATTCAAAACACAGCAATGTGATTTCCCGTGAGAGAGACTGTATTTGAAGGTTCAGCCCTGGCTGGTGTGGCTCAGCTGGTGGGAATGTCATCCCATAAAACAAAAGGTCACAGCAGGTTTGATTTCCATTCAGGGCACATGTCTGAGTTGTGGGTTCGGTCCCCAGTCGGGGCGTATATGAGAGGCAACCAGTCAATGTTTCTCTCCTTCCCTTTGTCTCTCCCCATCCCCTCCCAAGATCAATGAGTCGCCACCCATGCTGGTGAGGATGGGGGGGGGGGGCAGGATTAGAGATCAAGCACCTTGGTCATATTTGCTTTTGGGGGGTACTGGCTACAGCCAGTACCCTTGGCAAAAATTCAGCTGTTCACTTAAGGGGTATGTGTACATCAATGAAAAGTTTACTTTTTAAGAAACTGTTCACCTTGAAACCCAGAGCTATTGGGCAATTTGCGCAGGTCACACGATGAGCTGAAAGTGGACATCTTGTCTGAGAGGTGGTTTCTCAGTGCGAGGGGGCTCTCCCAGCCCCCTCCCGCCATCTCTGCCATCCAGGCCCCTCCCAGCATGGTACTGTGTTCTGTGGGAAGCCCTTTTAGGTTGGTGTTGGCCTTTGTCACCTGAGGCAGGGGCAGGTGGCCTGGCCAGGCTCAGGGTGGTACCCACCTTTGTAAACAAAGGTGACAGACCAGCAGTTACAGATTTAGTGATAGCTCCATCGGGAAAGCAGATGGAAAACACCGTGTTGTAGATCTGAGCTTTCCCTGAATTGTGTGCGTTCCTTTCATCTTCCATGTGCCACGAGAAAACTCTGTGGACTTTCCCCTACCTTTGGAGTACTTGGGCAGTCCAGGGTGATGTTTGACCACCTTAGGGCCTGGATGAAAGAGGACAGCCCTGACCTCACCCCCCAGGGCCCTGAGCATCCAGGTCGGGCCGTCAGCAGCCTGGCCTTCTTTCCCTGCCCTTAAGGGAGTGCTCAGCCCAGTCCAGCCGACCCACAAGCCCACCTGAATCACCCAGCAGCAGTCTCACCCGAGGCTCAGCGTGACAGGCTAGCCCCTTCCAGGACTCCTAACCCTGTCTCCCCACAGTATGTAAAACGCGGTTCAAAAGACACTGCCCAGGAGATGTCTCACAGCGAGGCCAGGGGTGTGGCTCGCACCACCCCTCCTGGAGCCCTGACCTGAACCCTGGTGGTCTGTCCTAGGTGGTCCTGTGGGTGGAACAACTTACCTCATCCATTTGTCCCTTCACAGTCCAGGACTTCCAAGTAGGTCATCTCGCTACACTGCTGGTGACCTCTGTAAATTCCCCCCTCCCACAGGCAGCTCTGCCCTGTTCTGTGCTGGGGGCTCTGCACCACGTCGGTGGGGAACCTGGGGGAGGCAGGTCCCGTGCGGCGCTCCCGCCCTCTGCTCACTTACCAGGAACCTGGAATTGTCGTCTTGGAGTTAACACAGTGCCTGTGCCAGCCAGTATAATAAATTTTCAATTAGTGAATCTTCTGATAATAGCATTTTAACAACTAACTTCCAAATAAAAAGCTTGTCCTTAATTTTTGTCAAAGGGGAGAAAGAGACTTCTAATGGTATCCTTATAAATTCGAAAGTGGTAATCATTTGGCTGTGCTACAAAACTCATAGCTAATAATTACAGATGTAAGTAAATGCTTCATTGATCAACTAGACGATGGGATGTATTTTTCTTAGCCGCTGTCAGAAACGGCAGCACAGCCATGTGCTGAGTTGTTGTGCTGCGAGTCTTTAAAATTCCTGCTGGATTTGAAGGTATTAACAAGTCCCTATCAACATTCTCTAAAGGTTTTTGATGTCATTTTAGCTATTGAACTAAAATATGTGAACTATTACTCTGTTGATTTTGTTCTTAAACCAAACTCCATTATCATCTGAGAGTGTGTTCTTAAAGTATTGTTAAAAGTACTTTGAAAACTTGTAAATCCCTGTAATTTATGTTTCTGCTGCCTCTGCTGCCTCATTCTTTCCTTCTGGTTTTAATTTGAATGCAGTCCTGCCTGCCCGTGTACCTGTAAAGTTGTGTTTTCCCGAGTACAATTTACCGTCCTGACCTTAGATTTTACAGTGCTCCCAGCCTTCCATGCGGTTCCCCGGATACCAAGCAGTGGGGTCACCCGGCTCTTTCATTTTAGGACTGTCTAGTCAGGGTCACTTGAAACATATCTGATTTTGACGTTTCTTAGTTTATCGTGAGGGCCCAGGGAGTAAATTAGGAGGACTTCCCTACAAGCCCATTAATTGCATTGCCCGTTTCTTAAAATGTACACAGCTGTAAACCTAGACTGCCTCAAGACAAAGGTCTCATTTATCTGAACAATTCTCCTTTTAGATTCAGTGGCACTGATGGAAACACAGATAAGGAGTGTGGATCGGAGGAGGGACCTTTTGGAGCCCGGGCTGAAACTGTCCGCTCCCTTACAATCCCCTTTTCTTTCCAGGGCCTGTCTGCATACGGAATAGATTTATCTGCAGTCAGTGTATTCCATGAGCAGCCAGGGAGACTGCAGTGGGCAGGGCTGCAGGAGAGGGTGTCCTTCTGGTGAGGGAGCTGTTTGCAGCTTCAAGGAAATGGCTGCCCTGCTCCTGGGGAGAGAGGTGCTGGGTGCATTGTTGCCACCGCGTGTGTTGGAAACCCGTGTCGCAGTCTTCCTCTCCAGTGGCTGCAGAACTTCTGGAATCTTTTCCTTAAGTTAGGAGATGAGATTACTTTATTTTCTGCTACTTTCAAACATCACTTAAATGAAGCTCAGGTAGAGTCGGGAGCCTTCTCTTCCTCCTCACATTCTTGCAGCCTGCTCTCCACAGTTCTTCCTGACACTTCGTGAGGGGAAGCTGGCAGTTGACCTGGGTTGCTCCTCTGTCCCAGGTCATTGTGCAATCTGGACGCCACCCCACGGTGCTGCAGAAGCTGTGCCAGCTGCCCTTCCAGTACTTCAGTGACCCTCGGCTGGTCAAGGTGCTGTTCCCTTCCCTTATCGCTGCTTGTTACAACAACTGCCAGAACAAGATCATCCTGGAGCAGGAGATGAGCTGTGTTCTGCTGGCTACGTTCATCCAGGTACCTCTGTGCTGTGCCCGGTTCTCTGGCTGTGTGCATGAGCTGAGGCTGTTGGAGAGGAAGAGTGGACCAGCTCTATCTCTGCCATCCACACTGCCTTTTAGAAAGCTCACATATTTCTGTGCTTGAAAATTAGTTTCTGAAATATGGGATGGCAACACCGGGTTGAGTGTTGTATATTTCTAGTTGTAGGATCTCAAGGAAAGGGTATTTTCCCCAATTGATGAAGTGAGCCCATGCTGAAGAAATGTTTTTAAAAGACTGCCAGACTTTAAGGCTTTAATGGTTCCTTTTATCTTACTCTTACAGTTTAGTCTGGCTATAAGGAGCTAGGTAATGATTGCTGAAGAAAGATTAATTAAAACTTCAGTTTATTTGTAAATGTTTAAATAAATACAATTCATACATATACACACATCTGTGTGTATAATAAAAACCTGTTCCATTGCTTTTAGAAGAGTCAGAACCTTTTAACCTTGGCCTTCCATTTTCCGATCCAGTCGCCTTCTATAGGTCTGGCACCAGAAGTGCTGTAGCAAAGCAAAGCTTTGCCTCTGCATGTGCAGTAACTCAGCACAAAAATCAGGTTGTCTGTTCTATAATATTTGCAATCCCTAATCCCGTAATTTTTTCTGTCCTTGTACGTCATTTTTCCTGAAAATTTTCCATTTTCTTCCAAATGTTCCACCACAAAACCAATGAGTTTTAGCTCCTTGAAACACACGTGATTAATAGACAATAATACAATAATGAAACAGAAAGCCGAGCTCTGTGTTGGTCGCGTTCCTTGTTCTGGCTCATGTGCACAGGTCCCTGTTGAAGGGGCAACAGTGCCCAGCTGACTGGGACGGCCAAAGAGTCCCAACACCTTCTTCACCTTAGAAACAATGAGTGCTTTACATTGTGTAAACTGTCCTCTATTACGTGGTCAACTTGTAAGCACAACTAAATCAACTGTGTCGAGAAATATTTTCTTTCCAGCTTAGTTTTTTTGTTTGAGGCTGGGTTCTGTTTTCTGAACATTTTTTCAGAGATATTCAGATCTAGAGGTTGAATACAAATTTTCATAAAGTAATGGTTAAACCATACTCTTAATAAAGCCATCATGCCACTATTTAGTATTCCACACATAGTCTTAGAAACTTAGGATTGGAGTAGATAGAAAATACTTTTCAGAGTTTTAAGACTGTGATGCTTCATTGGAATTGTTCCCTCTTTCACTGGGCAGGAAATTTGTGAGTGCCTACAGCGTGCCGCATGCCGCTCTCAGCTCTGGCAATCCCGCAGTGAATGAGACAGATAAAAATCCCTGCTTCCACAGATCTGTCGTTAAAGTTGGGGTGAGAGGGGAGTCAAACGGAAAACAAATAGCTTGTCAGACCGTGTTGGGTGCGGTGCAGAAAAGTATGGTGGGAACGGGGTAGGGACGGCCAGGGACGCAGTGTGCGGCAGCCTCTGTGGCCCGAGCGGAGGGTCCTTGGCCGACACAGAGCAGAGCGAAGGGCACATTCTGCATCTGTGTCAACTTGGTCCCGTACATTTCAGCTGCTTGGGAAACAGTTTGTAGAATACAAATGATACCAGAATCTGAAGTAGTAAAGGTTGTATATGTTACTTGTTTTTGTCCGTTACTGATTTTCAGATAGTTCTAAATATATTCTGCTCTGTTACAGTCAACAGACATTCAAATGTAAGGAAACGTAAATTTAACACACAGTTAACATATATTTTAACACAAAAATTCTCTAAATGCTACATGGTTTCTTAGAATGTTTATTTGGGATAAGACAATGTCAGTAATAGTCGACTTAAGTATTTTTTTTCTATAAATACGTGTGCTCAGGGAAATAAAAATACATTCAGTTTTAGTTTATAAAATGGTTCTGCAAGGGCCCCATGTATTATATTATTACTAGCCACTAGAAAATATTAAAAATAGGACCCTGATAGTTTCTGAAATATTTCTGTTCTGCATTTTTCGTTTTATATCTAAAAGTAAAATTATTAAAATTTAAGATTTAGCCCTGGCTGATGTACCTCAGTGGACTGAGTGCGAGCCTGTGAACCAAAGGGTCACTGGTCTGGTTCCCAGTCGAGCACATGCCTAGGTTGCAGGCCTGGTCCCCCAGAGGGGGACACATGGGGGGCAGCCACACATTGGTGTTTCTCTTCTCTTTCTCCCTCCCTTCCCTTCTCTCTAAAAATAAATAAATCTTTAAAAAATAAGTTTAAGATTTAGCTACAGAATACCTAACAGCTTTTAGTTGTACTTTTTTAAAAATGTCAAAAATTGTCAGTATTTTAAGACAGCAAATTTGACTGATGCGTTTTGTTAGATATAAATTGTAGTTTCCACAGTAGGCAGGAAGCTGGCCCTGGTGACAGTTGACCAGAATTTAAGAGTCATCTCTATTTGATTTAAACTTATGAGAACCAACCTTCCACTTTTATATTTGGGCTGTAAAGTATTCATGCAACAATAGTTGTCTCAGAATTCAGAAGCATTTTTAAAGCCGCCCTCAGTGAAATTCTCTGCTCCCCAGTTGGATAAAAACACTTTTCTTGTCTCACACAGGATTTTGCACAGAATCAAAGTCAGGCAGACACCCAGTCTCATCTGCCCAAAGGTACGTCTCCTTTAAAACTGAGTGTCGTGTGTTCGTTAGCTGGACGGGCATGTTTCTTATTACATCCTTCTGGAGCTGTTAGAGAAGTTAATTTATTACATTGCCTAAAATATTTGAGATTTAGATAACAGGTGTATTTCAGTGAGTAAAGAAATCGACTGTCGTCCGTCACGAGAATATCAGAACATCCAAAGAAATCTATGGAAGTAAAAGGAAAGTACAAGACATCTTTGTGTACTTTACACTCGCCACATGGGAGATATAATAAATGATGAATAATTGCTAAATGTACTTAGTAACACTGGAGACAATTAGATGATCGCTAGTGTTGGCTTACATTACTTACATAAATGCTGACATCACATAGTTTTGGTTCCCTATCCATGCTCAAAATAAAATTATCAATGCTAGAAGTCCCTATTTCCCTCTAAATCCAACTACTTGAATGTTTTTTATCAAAATAAGAAATGTAAAATTGTTTTCTGTGGGGAAAAAGCCATCAGATCACAAGGGTTTATTCCTGTAGTGTTCCTGCTGAGGTGTTTGCTGCAGTCAGAGCTGGAGGGGTAGCATTTTAAAGTGCATTTTTACTTTTTAAAATATTTCACTACCTACAGTCTGAGAAGTACAAGTTGCTCTCTGACTGTCATGACAGCATCTCTGTTGAGACCCTAGTCCGGATTTCCCCAGGTTTTCCATTAGTGTGGTGGTCTTTGACGTGGCCATTCAGAGGCCCACTCCCAGCAGGACCCTCCCGGGCACCCACCAACTAGCCCTTATTTGGGGGCGGGCAGCAGTGCGGGGGGGACGTCACCATGTGCTCTGTCTCTCTCTCTCTCACACACGCACACAGTTATCTATAGTGGGCAGGTGTCGAAAAGTCCATAGAAGAGACTATGACTAAACCTGTAACAAAGTCACAAAAAAGGATAATGTTCTGTTGTCTCAGGTACTCAGAAGTAAACAGAAAGCTGTGCCCCTTTTTAGAAATTCAAGTCAACATCATAGTTGGTATCATTTGTCTAAGCCACAAGTAGTGTGCAAGTTCAGTTCTGCCCTGACTCAGTCATAGCTGTAAAAGAAAAAAAAAAAAAAAAACCCATTATTGGAAGCTACCTTGGAAATTCCAGGAAAAGCATAACTTGGTGCTATTTCTTACAAAAACAGGTTTAAAACTTAAAACTTTGAAAATACCCACAAAAACTTCTAATGCATTTATTTATAACTGTAGAGCAGCTTCTTTGACAGTAAGAAGTATAGCCATTTTTTTTATAATTCCTTTCTCCTTGCTATAAGGATGAGTCACCATTTGCCAGTTTGCTGGGTATGGGCAGGCAGTCCCTCTGCTGCTGGGGGTGCTGAGGCTTGTGGGAGTCTCTCCACCTTCTGTCTTTTCCCAGGGTCCATCTTCTCTGACTTCCATGCTTCCCCCCCCCCCCACTACAGAGTTTAATCCAAACAGCAAGTGGAGACTTAGAAAGAGTCCTTGCTGTATTTGGTGACAGTTCATAATATGGTCACTTGATTTAAAAGAAAATGATGACACCTCACTGAGTTGCCAGTTTGTACCTTTGAAATCTGTATCCCTTTTGCTTAAGCCACAAGTGGCAGACACAAGCAAGGCCCACAGGCCAAATCTGGCCCTTGTTTTACCTGGTTTCTACCCTGCAGCAGCACTGCTGAGCTCTTGCTTAACTGTTAAGGAGTAGCTGCGTGTATACAGTCCTAAATTACATTCTGCCCTTTGAAGGCAACCGCAGGGCTGATGTGGCCCCCGGTGAAAATGAGTTCGACACCCCTGGCTTAGGGGAACTTTTGACTAAGTCCCATGAAATGTTTCAAGTTGTTTTGAGTCCATGGCCCAGGTGAACCTCTGAGTGTAAATCAGCTCCGGAAAGGACCACACTCTGTCCGCAGAGGAAGATTCTGGTTTTCAAATCTCTGCTGCTCGGCGACTGCCCAGGGGCAGGGTCTTCTGCTTTGTGCACATCCGTGGTCACTAAAGCTCCTCATAGTACCCTCTGCTTTGTTAGGCAACTGAATGCCAGATTTGAGCATTTTCAAAGTTATATTTAAACTAAAAGCATGTTTTCAATTAAACAAACTGTTTTAGAAAGTATGTCAAGTTTACATACATATTTACCCCATCCAGGCTAATGTAAGGATAGAATATATGGCTGTCAGCTTTGTTCATAATGTTTTACATAGGGGCTAATGTCTGAATATATTAGAAGCATAAAATAGATTGTGGTTAAAATACATATTTTCTACTATAGATAGATCAGTTACCTTGTTTACATAAATTGTGCCACAGTTTATCTGAAGTTATGTCTCCATTTTATACTCAGATATCAAATTGATTTTAATTTCTTAGATTTCAAGGAATTTCACTCTTTTTACATTTAATTCTCTTCCATTTCCCTCTCAGGAAAATGCCTTGCATCCCAGGACTATCTTGAGCTGGCTAACAGATTTCCTCAGCAGGCCTGGGAAGAAGCTCGACAATTTTTCTTAAAAAAGGAAAAATAAAAAAATGCTTTGGTTGGTTGTATATTTGAGTACCCTCATTAATATTTCAAATTGCTCAAACGTTCTAACTGTTCCTTAAGAAACTCCTTTTCACATGTTTATACTCTCCTCTGTACTGTAGATATGGTATATACTTTGAACTATTTATAATGACTGTAGATACTTGAATGTTCTACTTGCTAACACTGCAAGTTTATTTCATTTATGCACAATTTTTGCAGTTTGGTAACTTCAATCTTACATACTTTGCATTTGTAATATGTGTGAAATTAGACACAAAATTAGCAAATCTGTTTTGTTCTTGTAATAAAAATAACTTATTCTGTTTGCAATGGTGACTTTTCTTGTTAAGAAATACGAATTTCAAAGGAGAATGCTTAACTCCAGCCCCGGAAGTAACTTAATTAAAAGTTAACCAGTTCTGGATTTCCCTCTTTAATAAGATTTGGCACAAAGACATTCGCAACACTTTTACATTCTAATTACCTGTGTTTTTCGGGGCCATTTGAAATGAATTTGGCACACTGACCCTCGGCCTGACTTCCATCGCACACGGTGCAAAAAGCCTCTGCTGCCCCGCAGATTGAAGTTACTCTCCAGCAAATAGTCCAGATCCGAAAAGATCAGCCCTAGTGAACCACCCAGAAGTACTTTCTGTTAGAACTGGGAAGCAGCGTGGTTCCAAAACAGGACGTTGTCCAGGTCTGTCCTGTTCTCGCTGCGACTGCTGCTGCTGTCGCTGCCCCCCGAGGCCGGTGGCCGGCGCGAAACACTAAGCCGGTCACTGAGTGACATCGGTAATCTCTTCTGTCGGATAAGGATCAAACATTACCAAGAACAAAGATCTGGCTGGAAAAATTGCTCCGAATATGTATCAGATTCAAGGCTGGGGCTGGGAGGCTAGAAAAGAGAATTTTCTTCCGTTTTTTCCAAAGCAAGCCCACCTCCTGGTGTTCATTCGTACAGAAATCCCCCGTGTGAGTGGTTTTTACTGGTTTACAAATTAGGAGAAAGAGGAAATCCACCTTCAAAACCCAAAACAGAAGGAGAACCTCATCCCGGACCCACCAGACTCGCAGGCGCAAAGAGGAAAGAAACATCAGATATTTATGAGATTCGCTCCAAGACGCTTCTCAATAAAGTAAGCTTCTCTAGTCGGAAACTTGCCTAAAAGCCGTAACTAATGGAGTCACCGGTGATCACCGTCCCAGAAACCGTCCACACTCGCAGGTAAAAGTGGGAGCGGATGGTTTCGATGCTGTGGGCCGCCCAGGCGAATAGGGACCAGAACCCGCAGCGGAGAGCTGCCGGGCGCCTGCCTCCCCGGGCACTGCCTCCCTGCTGAACCTGGGCCCAGACCTCTCCGCCGCCGCCTTTCCCTCCCAGCGCAGCTGCAGAACCGCGGGTAGTTTTCTCCTGGAGCTCCTGGTCAGCCCTAAACGCTTGGGTCTCCGTAACCTCAGTAACCTGGAGTATTAATTACTCCCCACCCCCACCCCGGGTGTGCTTCCACTTCCCTTTCCCTGTTCCCGCACCCCAACACGGGGAATCCCCTGCCTTAGGTACCGAACCGCCCACACGCGGCGCTCGGCTCCTTCCCGGACCGCTCTGCCGCCCAAGGACGACCTGATTGACCAGCAGGTGCCCTGGTCTCAAGGCCGGACTCACCTGGCACTCCCTCCTTTCCGACACAATTGCTGCAGGGTCGGAAACTTGCTTTTTAAATTGCGCCGTCCCCCACCCAAATCCATACCGGGATCCCGAAGGAGTATGTCCGGGTGCACTTCCTCTCCCGTTACCAGTCTGGCTCCATTTATCTGCGACTCCATGCACAGCCTCTGTCAGCAAGGTGCTAGTCGGTAATTGCTTACACAGCCCTAGCTATTGCTTCGACTCTGTACTTGAAGAAAGTTTTCCTTTACATCAATCAGGCCTGCATGTAAAAGCTTCTAATCTTCCCTTCATCAGTTTAATAAACTGTGAATTTCCTGCTTTTATCAACTCCCTTGCAACTTCTCTGCAAATAGTTTATTATTCATTCACTGTTTCTACTCCCCAGCCCACTGCTATTCAGGTTATCCTCTCGCACGCGCTCTTTTGCGAGGAAGAGAGCCAACTAAACGTGTGGGGGTTTTTGCCCCTCCCCCAAAGCAGCATTAGCAGAAATCTCATGTTTTCTAGAGAACAATTTTAGACAATGTCTCACTTTAACCAAATATTTGCAGCTCTGAGAAAACTGAACTTTAAGCTATTCCATATTCAAAATTGAGAAGCTGATTTCTGTCCCATAGTCCATTAAATACTCAACTTTGTTGGAGATACTGGCACAGAGACTCTGAATTTCCCAGAAGTATGCAGCCTTTCAACATGGATTAAATTTTGTAGTGTAATAGCCATAAACTTTTCTATCTCAGGGAATCCCTTTACTGCCTCCATGCCATAGAGCTATTCGAGTTATTAAATATTCATACAATGTCTTATTCTAAAGTTAATCCAGTCAAATAACTGACTCCCATTTCCCACCCATAGCCTCTTTTACTGAACTTTTTACTACACAATTGGCTACCACTTTAAAAGTTCAGGAAGCATAAAATACAACACTTGTGATTATTACAGCTAATTTAATTTACAAGAAAACCCCCACTGTATTACAGAAGATGTGTAAAGATGATCTGGGAACCATTAAACCTGATTAACTAACCAGCCATAGATCCGACACCTCATCAAGGAACTTCGATGGGAAAGGACATGCCCCTCCCTATGCCTGGCTGGCCGACTGCAGGGGAAGACCTGCTGCTGCTTTATACAGTCACGCAGGCCGTCGCAGCCACCCTAATACACAGTAACCACTTCCATCATTTCCCAACACCCAGAAACAGACACGCTCAAATAAATATCAAAAGAAGGAATTAGGCTTTTTGATCTACGAATGATAAAGGAAGAGGTGACTGCAACTGGATGCTTCCACTTGAAACATTAAACTAATCTGTCAAAAGCAAAAATTTGGAGCTAATTAACAACCATTAGTGAAAGTCTTCTGTAGCCAAGAATGCTTTTCCTTTTTTTAAAAAAAATGAAAAGACCTAATATTCTGTATAAAAGTTTTCTAAAGTAAGATTAGTTGGGAGTTTGGCTGGCCACAAGGTAAAAGGAAATACCTATATTTCTGTTTGGGAGGAGATGGTCTAAGTTAAGGGAACGAAGCCTCAAAGAATAACCCTGATTATTAAAACCGTTTCTAGATACTTAAGAGGTAAAGCTGGTCCTCATTAACCCTACATATCTCTCCCCTTATCTGTAAATTTGCAGCACCATTTTCTAAATCCCGAAGAAGGAGGATGTTCTCTTTAATTTTTGTGCTAGCATCACCTTGAGTTTCAGGAAGCAAAATAGAAATGTGGCCCCATTTCCACACCTCCCCCAACTTTCTTTCAATAATTGCCAGCCAGTCTTCCAGCCTTCTATCTCCAGCGAGGTGGGGGGTGGGAGGTGGACAGAGCAGGGATGACGGAATCCTGGCCTCAGCTCTGCTGGAAAAATGTACGGTGGCCTCGGGCCCTCCAAGCAGCCCGGGGCTTTCAACAGAAAGCATCTACTCCTCTGCCCCGCGACCATAGGTGCCCCTCAGACACATTTTTCGTCACCAGACTACCTAAGAGGGCGACTGTCCTCAGGGCGTTGCCCTCTTCCAAAACCAATCCTGGGCAAATAAGGATATACTTGTGGGTCATTTAACTTGAGGGGCAAGGAAACGGAAACTCAATCCAGAGTTTCTTCAAGAGCAGTGGGATTGGCTGGAGACTGGTATTCGCGCGCCCACCAGTGAGGCTGCCAAAGGGTTAAATATTTGAAGGGTAAAACCTGAGCCTGCGTTTTGTGTGCTTGCCCGGGGCTGCTGGAGATTCGGTATCTCTTGGTTATTTCCTGCGACCTCTAAAGCCAGTTTTCAAGAAAACAAGTGGCAGGGTTTGAAATGTCACACCGAGTGACCTGGGCCATCCCCGCCCCTGCATTCGGGTCTGGAAAGAAAATAAACCAAAGACACGCCAGACTGGTTCTGGTGGACTCGCGGCCGGCGGGGCCCTGTGGCTCCCGCGCTGTATCGCTTGCAGGTGATGCCGGAGCAGATAAGGGGCCGCCGCGCGCCCGTCCTCCGTCTAGACGAGAATTAATAACCGGCGAGACCCCCGAGCAGCGCCCAGGACACCCCGCACACCCAGCCCGTGGGGGCTCCAGACGGACAGGAGGGCCCGGCAACCCGGCCAACGAGGGGCTGCGGGAACCCCAGTCGCCCTCGCGAGCCTGACCTCAGGCCCCAGTGCGCCCCACGGCGGCCACCGAGAGTCTCAGCTTCCCGCCAGAACGCGACGGCCCCGCCCGCTGTGCGCGCTCCAGGCACCAGCTTCTTGTCTGGGAGGGGCGCCGCAGGGGGCGCACCCCCTCGCGCCGGCGCGCACAGTACCGCGCACCCGGCGCAGGGACGCAGCCCCGCCCTTCGCACGCTGTCCAATCCCCGCGGGGCCCAGCTACGCCCGGTGTCCAATCCCCGCTGGACCGCCCACCGCGCGCCGCCCAATCCCTGGCGGGCGGCCTCGCGTGGACACGCGGCGCGGCGGCGAGGCGCGAGGCGAGGCGCGAGGCCAGCGCCCGACCCGACGCGCGGCGCTGGCGGCACACAGGAGCAGCCTCGCATCCGGTTGTTGTTACTTTTTTTTATTAAGATGAAAATATCCGTCCCAATATGAACTGGCTGTTCTTACAATAAATAACAATAACTTACGTTCTGTTCGTCAAAGGCTCACACGCTCTGTCCTCCGTCGACTGATAAGTTAAACATTGCTCAAGGTAAGTCTTGTTTCTACTTTTTCCAGCAATCATGCGCTCTGGGGGATTGAGGTCTGCTCCTTTCGGCTGTCCCGTCCTCTCCCCGCTGGAACCCCGGAGGGAGCCGCAGGGGCGCGGACGCGGGGAGAGGAGAGGGCCCGGTTAACGCTAGTAAATCCCAAATTCTGGTTCTGAGAAAACACAAGTCCTCCGAGCAGGGTTCTCCAGCCTGGTGAAAGCAGGTGCGTCCTGGCGCTCCAGGCCCTCTTGACGCTTCTCTCTGTCCTTTCTCTTTAAATAACAATAATAACAATTACAAAGGCGAGAGCTGTCGGCGGGCAAGGCCTGAGCGCGGGCGAGTCTCATGCAGGGAGCATGCGCGGTCCGCGGGCTGGGGGTCCCCTCACGTCTCCACCGGACTCGGCACCATGCTGTTGGGCGTGTCGGGGAGCTGCGAGGACAGGGAGGTCACGTCGCTGCCAGAGGAGTTGCCCAGGGAGCCA